TCAAACTACCTAGGAGTAGCCTAAATTCATCTGACTCCTTCCATAATGGCACTGCAGCCTTTTGCCTCACTGCACTAGACATTTATTCTAGCAAATGGATTTACTTTTCCTTCCCATTATGTTTCTGTCAATGGTTATAGCAATTGAGTTACTGAATGTCTCACACACTACCATAGTGTGTCACATACTGCTATCTCCTCTCAAAAAATTCCTTTCACAGAGAAAGAGGAAAGACTGTAGGCTGATGCTCCTAAGACTTGAAATCCTTATCTTGTGTTTTATTGGGCAGAAGCAGTTGGTCAACAGAACACTGAAATATCCTACTAAAGACTCAGTCACTGAATCAGTGGGGACACTTAAATGGTGTACTAGAAACCGATGTAGCACATGGTCTAAACTATATGACAATGCTTACTCATGTTGCAAAAAAAAAAAAACATGGTCTGGGGCCAAAGGGTGATTAAACTTAAGTGATTAAACTTACGTGATTAAACTTACAATTATATTTAAGACTCACTGTGATGGTTAATTTTATGGTCAACTTGGTTGGGCCATGGGGTACCCAGATAGTTTATCAAACATAATTCTGGATGTTTCTGTGAGAGAGTTTTAGATGAGCTTAATACTTAAACTGTAGACTGTGTAAAGGAGATTGCCCTCCATAAGGTGGGTGGGCCTCATCCAATTAAGTAAAGGTCAAATTAGAATAAAAGGCAGAATAAAAGAGAGAACTCACCAGCCTGGTGGCCTTCAACCTAGGACATTGGCTCTTCCTGGTTCTAAAGCAGCTTGCCAGCCTTTAGATTCAGACTGAAACATCAACTCTAGATTTTGTACTTGTCAGTCTCCCATGGCAGGTAAGCCAATTCCTTATAATAAATCTCTCTATATATAACCTATTGGTTCTGTCTCTGAAGAACACTGACTCGTACCATACACTTTAAAAATTTTGCTTCCCATACCCTTGGTTTTGAACTATCATCATGTAGATGTTTTAACACCTCAGCAAAGAATGCTGCCATATGAGACAATACAGTTTTCAGTGAATTAGAAGCTAAGATTGACACCTGAACATTTTGAGGCTTTTCACACCACTAGACAAACAAGCAAAAACAAAACAAAACAAAAAACAAACAAACAAACAAACAAAAAAGATATGGTGTCAACTGATGTAGTTGACTCTGATTCTCAAGGAGAAATAGGTTTGTGGCTGTACAATGGGAATAGAGACTACTAATAAGATCTCCCCTATCACTGGTTTGTCATGAAAGGCCAGGTTACATATAATAACAAATAACCCAAAATCTTACAGACATCACCTTACAGGGGCTTATTTATCCTCCACTCAATGGGGTCATGAGTAAGGTGATGTGTGTGTGTCTCCCTCTTTTCTTTCTCCCTCTCTTTACTCCGTGATACAAGCTAACAAAAGAGCCAATATCTAGAATACTGCTGGTTGCTCTGGCAAAGGAAAAGAAAGCATGGAATATCTACTTTCTGCCCACAGTTTATTGTGAGAGACCCATATGGACATTCTAAATAGCAAGGGAAAAGGAAGTACACTAAAATCAATGCCTGGGAAGAAACCTGGAAATATTTGATAGCTAACACAAATACTGTCATATACCACCATGTCTTTCAGTAAGGGTCAATGAAAGACTAATTCAGTCCTATAGAAACAATACTACCAATGTCTCAGAACTGTAAGGGAAAAACAGGTAACTGCACTGGGTAAAAACATATAGGCAGGAGAAATGTTTTAAGTTTCAACTACAACTTTCAACCAGTTACAAAACCAGGGACAGAGACTTTACATGTGTCCCATTCCTTTTATTATTAAAAGCATCATTCCATTAAATTCATATTAAACATTTTAACTTTCCCCTTACATTTTTGTATGTTAAGTGCAAATGTAGAGAAAGAGAGGAGAAAATAGTCATCTCCACAGATGTTTCCAGCAAACCAGGATGGAGAGTGGGATATATGAGACTCTGCATTGTCTACATTTTAGGAGAATGTGTGTTTTCAGTTGTATATTTAGTAACAGCAATATACTGAATGGTATAATTTTGTTTTTCAATAAATATGTTCACAAAAGAAGGGATATTGGACAACCCAATGACTGGATTGTGCTGAACACCTACTGCTTATTCCCTCTGAGAATTCACCTGTCATCCTCAGGTTATAGGATCCTCATGTATCTTTGAGGGAATAAGCCATTTAGATAGAACCTTGACAGGGCTGTGAGTCAAGATGGCCCATCCTAAACAAGTCAAGGCTGTGCCTTGGGAAACAAGAGAAACCAATAAATATAATTCTCCATGGTATATGAATCTTGAGCAGAGATATAAGAATACCAAAAGCAACTGGGACCAATTCCTCTCAGCAATAATTCCCACGGACTTTGTCCTTTATCCATGCTTCTCCGTGCCCTCAAATTGTCCTGATCCCTATCTTTAACAAAACAGAGTTCTTTTATTTTTCAATTAATTCTAGGAGTAACTTCATTCTGTTGTTCATAGAAAAGCAATCTAATTAATGCCATGTCCAACTTTGTAATTGATCAAAGGCATGCAAATAAAAATTACGCAAATATATTTTCACCTGTCACATTGGGCAAAAATAGAAATTACTGAAGATAGCCAATTTAAAGAACATGGTGGGAAATAAGCCTTATATACTACTTCTAGGATTATCATTCAATACAAGCTTTTTGTATAGAACCTTGGCAGAACCTTACACAATTAAAATGGAAAATATTCTCAACAAAGCAATTCTACCTATTATCAACCTATTCTATGAAAATATTTGAATATGCTTTCAAAAACATAAATAAACTGATGTTAACCTAACATATTTGGTGATAATGTTAACATATTTGGTAATAAACATATTTGGTAATAATGTCAATTTAACATATTTGGTAATAAAAGCACAGACAATCTGAATGTTTATCAATAATGGGACAGTGAACAAAACTATGGAATACTGTACATCTCTTCAAAATAATGAAACTGATCAATATCTGTTCAACTTAAACAACATCCATCGTATGCTTTTGAGTAAAAAATAAGCAAGCTGCAGAGCAATAAAAGACCTATATTCAAGTTACATAAAAAAATCTATTCATCTATACAACATATATGTGTATGAATACATTATATATATGAATATATTATATGTAAATACATCACATATATACATTAGGTTTTATGTTACCGTAAGAAGTTTTGGGAGGATACACACAATTTGAAATGGTAATATGTGAGGAGTATTAGTGCTTGAAGTGGGGCCGTTAACATATTTTCTAAGTAATATTTATTGAGTGTAGATTTTCAGAAGTACACACATTATTTTTTATTTTTTCAATATATTAAAATAGAGTGCAGGATAATATGATGGCTAAAATTGAAAGAGTGAAAGGAAACATGTTGTACATGTTTAAAGTGGAATAGGAAAAAATGAAATGAAGAAACAAGGCTAAAATCATTATTATTGCAGTACATTGATATGGAGCTACAAACATGTAATTATTAACTAATTACTGTAAATAGTACTGATAATAAATAACATTAGTTGAGGATATATGTAGTAAGCCTAGTCTTATATGCTTCATAAGCATCATCCCATTTCACTTTATAATTATTCTATGAGGCAGGTACTCATTTTAGAGAAAAAGGCAATGAAGACACAGAGGTTTGTAATTAGCAGTCAGTGGGCATTGCATTTAATTATGAAATACGGGAAAATCCTGGACTGACTGATCTAGATAGAACTAAAGAGGCCCTGGAATGGCTAAATTTTTGAATACATCACTGCTTAATCTTGCAGAATAAGAGCTACTGCTTCAAAATTTAGAGAATATTGAAGAACGAGAAAAAGAGCCACCCTGACTAAGCTTCCTTGTTAATAGCAAGACTTTACTTTGCTTCACTTTCTTTCGATTGGGACTTCCTGTATGTGGCTCAGGCAGCCGAAAATCTGATCATGATATTTTAGATCCTGGAGTCTGGATCTTGACAAAGACACTGTTCTGAACTAAATGCTTATGATGATCCTGCCTTTGACAGCAAGGAGGTTCTACAGATCACTGCTCAGCTGGCATTGGACAACAGGTAGCAGGGAGTGGAAGAAAGAGATGAATATATTAAGGGTGCCTGTGCTAAATAGCTGTGTATTATTTACCTTTATTTAACATAAGACACAACGGTATACATTTTCTTCTGAGCATTTAAAACCATCCAATTTCAATATTTGGTTTCTGGTTTCCGAGGAAAACCTGGAAGACTTATTCCAATCACACTGATGTATTTTTATTGTTGTTGTTCTTGTTTTTTTTTCAAAAGAAGCTCATGTAAGCATTATAAAGCCTCTTACCACCTCATCTGGTCTAAGGTTTACTCTCATGTTGGGAGAGAAAACAGGTCAATGGAAGTTACTAGTAAACTAGGCCAAATTAATGATGAGTGACTTCAGTGTATCAAAAGCATATGGCTCTGTTGGAAAAAATAAATGTATTTTACTACCCCTTACCTATGAATAAGTATCTTGGAAAAGAGTGATAGTCACTAGATTTTGCAAGTAGTAAAGGAAACAATCATGTTATGATTTCTATTCTTTGTGAGCTAGCTTCTTTATGGTAGATCTCCATTCGCTATGTAACAAGGAAAGGAAGAGGCAGTAGTTCTTCAGACAGATGGTCTGGATATTTAGGCAGCCAGCAAGCGAGTGTATGTGATTAGCGGTGATAGTAACAGTACTCCACGGTACTTAAAAGGGAAAAATATGTGCTGGAAACAGACTATTTTGAAAAATAGCATCTGCACTGCTTACTGTTATAGAGCTGATATTCAATGTTGTTGTTGTTTTTCTTTTTTTTTTTTTTTGTATACTAATCTGGCTGTGTATTCAAATAACACTGTCTCTAGGTACATCAGGCTGCTTGATGTATTAATTACTATTAAACGAGTTAACGTTAACAATATTTTCCTTGGACTTACCCTGGCATCGGTCCGTTTCCAGAAAGACTGTAAACCTGACGAGGATTTAGTAGATACTGGAATTTTCTGTAAATTCTATAAAAATGAAAATATGGGAAAAAAAAGAAATTGAGTGACACTCCCCAATGTTTAAATAGTTATATAGATGGTTGTAACTAAATATATTTGAAAAATTTTACATTAATAATATTAGACATACAGTTTTTTATAAGAACTTAGGGTTCTTTGAAAAGAGGCTTAGTAGCCAATATACAAGTAATATAGTTTATAATAGAAAGAATGATATTTGCATTCTCAATATGCATATACATTTAGAATATTCTCCATCCTGCTTTTGAATATTATTTGGCTAATTAGAGTTCAAATATATTTTTTAAGAATATCAGAATAAAATTACTATCATACCTTCTCCTAATGGAGCCCTATGAAATTTACAGGTTATTGGGCCAAGCTAATCAATGTGAAAACTATCCCACATATAAAATGGGACTGGGCATGCTGTATGTATATGTAATCAAAGAATGTGACATCATCTGCTTAATTATGCCACATTAAGAATCATCTTGATCAGTCAGCTCACACAATTGCTAAACTGTTTCAACAAGCACATTTTTTTTGTTTATTTTTTAAATGTTTATTTATTTTTGAGAGACAGAGGGTGAGTGGTGGAGGACCAGAGAGAGAGGGAGACACAAAATCTGAAGCAGGCTCCAGGCTTCGAGCTGTCAGCACAGAGCCCAGTGTAGGGCTCAAACTCACAAACTGCAAGTTCATGAACTGAGCCAAAGTCAGACGCTCAACCTACTGAGCCACCCGGATGCCCCTCAACAGGCACATATTAAATATTTTTTTTCTAAAAGAAATCAATCATCGTACAACAAATGCAGTACAAATATTTCTAAGTAGATACACATCCCATATTGGCATTCTTAAATGAAATACTGAAATTGAAAGCATATATTTAGTTTTTTAAAGTTAGATTTCACATACATGGGAAAATTTTACCATATATTTTATAAACACATTCATACTATGTTTCCTGATAGAAACTCTTCAAATTCACTGTGTAATATCTGTTATATCACTCCACTCCCAAATCTGCAATAATCTCACATTCTAGATCTTGATTAATTACATGATCTAGTGTCTCAAGAAAGACCTTAAGATTCATTCTTGGTACTTCTGGTACTTCTTTTTCCCCAGCACCTGAACCCAATGAGAGAACAATTTGGCACCTGCTATCAGTAATGTCAATCAAACCTGGTTATTCTCTGTCACTACCTTAGCTCAGGATTGCAAGCTGTCTCACCAGCTCTATAAAGTTCTTGCTTATCCAGCCTTCTTACATAGTGCTGGTTAAGTACAGTCATGTTGTTTCCAGGATGAAACGTTTCTGCAAGTGTCAAGTTATTTATGATACAGAATATTTTATTATATTTAAAATAGGTTACGCCTTACCTTTCCCCTCATTTCCCTGAAACTTTAATCTCAGTGATTATCTCCTGGTTCCCTAAAAAACACCACACCCCTTCACAAATCGCTCTTTTTTCACCTGGTAAACATCTACTATATCACAAGCAATTCAAAAGCTACTTCCTGTCCAAAGAAACTTCTCAGTCTTCAGAGATAGCTATTTCTCCCTTCGAACTTCAACAGCATTTTTATTTTAAACATTTTTAGTTTGTCATTCATCTTGGGGTACTGCAGTTTATCTGTTTGTGCCTGCCTCCTTGCGTGGCTATATCGTGGGTCTTTTATCCCCACTTCCTAGTAGAGTTTGGATTCACTAAGGTTTTGTTGTTTGAATGAATGAATGAATGAATGAATGAATGGTACGTGAGCATTTTCACACCTGTTGACTGGTATGGAACACTTTGTGTAAATATATAATTTTGTAACCTTTTGCGAGTTATCTAACATATCAAAGTTAAAAACCAATTATTTTTAAAGGAAACCCGGAATGGAATATCATTATTTCTGAAAGATGATTCTTCTTCATTCACAAAAATTAGGAGCATTGCAGTATCATCCCTCCTGCCATTAAGTTTAATTTACTTCTGACTTTAGTCTATCTATGTAGTTTTTTTTTCTTAATGGGATAAGGAGGAGTCAGATACTCACTTAAGGTCATCATGCATGATCCATATTCTCCTAAAATGAAAGGAATGCTTTCCCTTTGAAAATATACCTTTTCTTTCTCTTCATACTTCATTTATCTCTACTTTCCAACATGAATTTAATGCTTACCTAATTCCGTATAAAGAGGTTTTTTTTTTTTGCAAACATCCATAATATATAAAGCTGACAGACTGTACGTAGTAAAGGAGAAAATAATTTTAGTTAATTATTTAATTGTGATTTTGTATCTCTAAAAGTGAGGTAACTGTTCTCTTTAATAAAACCATTTTTAATTATTAAGCCACTAGTAATTTAAAATAATTTCTATCATGTTTAGCAGAGTAAAAAAATATACAACTACATGTTGATAAAGGAAACAAAACTTTCTAAGCAGAAATAATATTTTGTTGATTGGAAAAAGAATAGCACTCTTCTTTTCACTAAAATAAAGCTGGAAAGTTAGATGGCAAGAAAAGAAACTATAAAATTCCATTTACATGAAAACAATTCCACTTACCATGAGAATCACAATGCAAATTTCTGTTTTATTATCATAGTGTTTGTATGGATGCTTTCATCTCATTTTTTTGTTGAGATAAGTAAAGACTTCTAGAAATTATAGCAGACGCAACTGCATTTTTGTTTATGACATGCCTTTTTATAAGGACATAAGATTTACTCTTCAATGGGATTTTCAGATATTTATTAATTATTATGATTTAATCATTAATGTATTACAAAAATGAAACTTCTTCATTGTCTGCCAGAATGCTGAGACACCTGATAATGAACCTTATTATAATTCAGATTATAATTCAGATTGTTTTCCTTAAGGATATATGGCATCACGTACTACAAAAACTCACATGTAGAAAATCATTTTTATACAATTTATCTAGAAGCTAAATATAAGTTCTGTTCCTCACTACTTAGTGATAATTTACCTGAAGTCACCTTGTTGACCACTTAGAGAACCAATTTTCATTCAACACTATTTATGGAGCCATGTTGTATGCAAAGCTCTTTGTTAAGGGCTAGGGGTGATAGGGTAGAGAGAACTCAGATACCCCAGATTGATAATAAAAATATTTATAAGAAGCCATTAGTATATTAATTTGAACTATATAAGAATAAGGAGAGATCATATCGATATATTACACATTGACTCTAGAATTATTTATTTCACATTAAAATTCGCAAACCATAGTGAATAATGCTTTAAAATGTCTTTACACTGTAATTCTATGGGGTACTTTGGTGGCATGGTCCGTTAAGCTTTCGACTTCAGCTCAGGTCATGATCTCACGGTTCGTGGGCTCTCTGCTGACAGCTCAGAGCCTGGAGCATGCTTCGGATTCTGTGTCTCCCTCTCTCTCTGCCCTTTCCCCGCTCATACTCTGTCCTTCTCTCTCTCAAAAATGAATAAACATTAAAAAAATTAAAAATAGATAAAAGTAAATAAAGTATCTTTACACTCCAATTCTAGTTTATCTTCTACATACATATGACATAGAAAAGGAACCTGATTTTTAAAAACATACCTTTCTCCTTGTTTCCCACCACTTTTGGGGTTCACAAAAACTAGAAGTGGATGAGTACCAGGAACAGGAGTAATCTAGAAGAAATTTGGATAGATGGTCAAATTATTCGCATTATGTATGGAAAGGACCCTTGTAATTTCTATTTCATGAAATACCAATTAGCAATTTTAAGAATATGGCTCTTCAGTCCTGTAATTTGGGTGGAGAGATAGATCTGTTTAACAACTCAATTGAACCCTATGTTTTTACTATATCAAACAGGCATATCCACACCACAGAGACAGGTAGGGTCCAGCTAGGTATAGGGCAGAGAGGAAGGTAGCTATGAAGAAAGAATGGTGATTGAATAGCCATGAGATGAAAACAAAAGGTACAATTTGCAGGACAGTGAGTAAACCAGACAGAATGAAACAGAAGATAGTGGGAGGAAAACGATTAGAAGAAAATAAAGGGATTAAATTATAGACAGCACTGACTTTATAGATGACAGCTCCTGTAGAGGTTTGTGGCATGTATGGAATCCATCTACCCAATCTCTTGCCAACTAGAATCTCAGTAAGATGGTTTGAGGTCTCCTTCAGCCTAACTGCTCCCCTGTACACAATTTTTCCTCAATGTTTTCTTTCCCTGCCTGGGGAGTAGAAGACCAGTGAATCAAGTCTGTTTGCTAGCCAGGAATCCGCAAACTGACTGTGCTCCTACTATATACTGATACTGATTTCTTGGTTGAACAAGAAAATATTGCCTGTCCTAGTGCAGCTTATATTCTAGTCGAGACATAGACAATAAGCAAACAAATATGTAGTTAGCAGTAAAACATACCATGAAGAGAAATAAATCAAATAAAATGATAGCACTTTATTGGTGTGAAGGGGGTAAAGCTGTTCTTTGATAGGATGGTAAGGAAGAATTCTTGCATTTTGCCTGACTTCAATGTTAATAGGTAGACTCTTAAATGCATGTGTTCCTATTCAACCTACCACTATAAAAATTCTGTCTAAATACAGTTTGACAAAAAATATTTAGTAACAAAATATGCAACTACTGGAGCCCTCTTGATATTAAACTGAAAAGTTCTTGATCAGTTTACTTTCTGAAAGTAGATTCAGGCTATCCTTTATTGCTATGTTTTTTTTTTCTATCTCAGAAAGTATTCTAAGATATGTAATGAGACACTTAAAAAACAACCATTTTACCATATGATATCCTTTCTTCCTTTTTGTTCAAACAACAGAAATTAAAATATTCTTCTAATACACTTTCCTCCAATCTTAAGTGAACTGTAATTTTTCCAGTGATTATAGGCACTGGAAAAATGTTAAAATCTTCACATTAGTTACAGAAGGTTGAGTAAAATATTCTTAATTCTTCTACTTTTACTCAACTTGTCACTTTCATCTATTGTATCTGTCTCTGTTTTGCTTTCCTCTGTAAAGAGGACAAGGGTTCCTTGTTCCTGGTTTGGTTGTAATCTAGGTAGGAGATAAGACATATAAAGTGGATTTGTAGTAACTTTCCTGTAGCAAACGTGTTCAATCAATTAACATATAGACAGTGCCTCCTAGGTTGCAGTGTGTGCCCTTCTCCCCTCATTTAAAAGCTAGAATAAAGAAACTACACAAACAAAATCCTATTATAGAATTAGAAAGAACTCCTGAAGTTTGCACATTCAAAAAAAGTAATGGTAACAGATGTGGATTTTTATTTTTGCACCTAATTTGAATTGTTACTCCTTATTTTTAAATAAGGGTGAGAATCTCAAGGTAAATAAAGGTTTTCAAGCACAACATTAAGTCTGAACCCAAACACTCATTAAGATGATCTTCTCCAAACTCAACATTCAGCTTACAGTTCTATTAAAATAAATTAGATTATATTAAATTCACACTGGGTCAAATATTTACAATGTATTTTTAAATATTTTTGAATGCCTTTCAGAAATACATGTATAATGGAACATTTAAAGGCATCATAACCATTTATCAAATAAAGGTTAGTAGCAAGCTATAGAACAACTGTGTTCTAAGGTGCACATTATTACCATCAAATAAATATCCCACTAGAATACAGTCTATAGGATCTCAAAATACAAAAAAAAAAAGTATATGTTATTTTTAGAGGTGGGTAAATGGATAAATAGGTCAAATGGATTAGAAAATAGAAGATATTTAAGATAAAGAACAAATTTAGAAGAATGGGAATGCTCTGTAAGCACAAAAGTCAAATATGCCAAATGGAAATACAGGAAGAATAAAATCACTTAGCAGTCTTTTCCTCGTATATATTCGTATCACAAAGTAGGCTTATGAAATAAGACTAAATACAAACAAAATACTGAAAACTTGAGATATCTATTTATCAGTTACCTGGCACTGTGGAACACGGCTTCTTCTTCTTTTTTTTTTTTTAACATTTATTTATTTTTGAGACAGAGAGAGACAGAGCATGAACGGGGGAGGGTCAGAGAAAGAGGGAGACACAGAATCTGAAACAGGCTCCAGGCTCTGAGCTGTCAGCACAGAGCCCGACGCGGGGCTTGAACTCACGGACCGCGAGATCATGACCTGAGCCGAAGTCGGCCGCTTAACGACTGAGCCACCCAGGCGCCTCGGAACACAGCTTCTTTGATAATGATGTTAGATAAACTCCTGACGTAACACAATCTACATTTAAGGGATAATATGTGATTAAACACCAGCACCACAAAGACACTGGTGTGAAGGGATCATTTAATGGTGTTACACTGGAAAGGTCAAGGTTTTAAGCAAATCTAGCATGTTTTTCAAGCCCCTATTCAAAAAGCTTTAACATCTGGCTACACTTTGTTACTATAAGAATACCAACCCACCAGAGTAAATTTGGGGGCCAGAAGACCAAAGATAGAATTCCTAAATTTGAGAGCACCAAAACTATAGTCCAGCATGATCATTTTCAGGTCTGACATGTTAAAAATAACAACTACTTTGTGCACTGATACTCCTGGAAGAAGGAGTATCTTACTGTCAAAGACTGCCACTGTCATTTACTTCTACTTCTCTTCATCTTTATCGAAAGAGCCCTGGGCAAAATTTTGAAAGACTGGCCCTTCCCATCATACCTGTACCTTGGAAACTATTGCTGCTGTTTGCAGAATTTGAATACGTATTTCTTTTGAAGAGTTTTAGGAAGGTGTAACTTTTGGTGTCTTGCCATATAAGCATGCAAATAAATAGTCTAAGTAGAAAAAAATGTGTCTATGTTTCGTCTATAATTGGAAGTTGCTATGGATTGAATTGTGTTTCCCCCAATTTTATGTTGAAGCCCTACCCCACAGTGTGGTGGTATTCGGAGAGAGAACCTTTGGGAGGCAAGGAAGGTTAGATCAGAGTGGGAGCTTCATGATGGGACTAGTACCCTTAAAAAAGGAAGGTCTACCCCTGCCTCTGCACACACAAAGAGGTAACATGAGGACAAAGGGAGATGGCAGCCACCAATAAGCCAAGAAAAGAACCCTCAGAATGAAATATAACTTGTCACCCTGGTCTTGAACTGTCCAGCCTTTAGAACTGTGATAAATCAATGTCTCTTATTTAAGCCACCCATCTATGATACTTCATTACAGCAGCCCAAGGCGACTGATACAGAAGTGTTTTGTGGAAACTCAAGATATGCTCTTTAGAAAGGAAGCGTAACAGCTTCTAGTCATCTTCCTCTGGATGCCAGCATGAAATGTGATATTCTAAGGACCAGCAGCCATCTTTGCTAATGAGGTGACCTTGATGATGCCACAGATGGAGGACAGGAAAGATAGAACCAGCCCTGATAAAAATGTGGAACTGTCTTATTAGCCATACTTCTGGAGATCCTCCTTCTAGACTTTACTTACAGTAAAGAAAAATTGATGGTTAACTTCTCTAAACCACTGTTATGTTTTATTTGTTTTTGTTTTTGTTCTTTCTCCATTATGTGCTGCAGAACCTAATTGTCACTGGTATGAAAGATCCACAAGGGCACAGAATTGAATATAGATGGAACCAGGCATACAAACTTCATACTTCATCAAACTTGTTAATATTTCTAGACCCTAAGTGAAGAACAGAGACTTGATAATCAAAATTCTTGAAGAGAATCTGTATCTTATTTTATTCTACATTATGTTATTCTCCTTATTGAGAATGGGGATACTCATTATCAGTTAATCCTTTTGTAACTTGAAGAGTATGAAACGAGGAAAAAAATACAGGTATTACTAGATGGGATATTTTAATTACTTAATCCGATCTATTTGATTCCACATTTTATTTTCCTGGGAGGTCAATATCAGGTAAGAACTAACTTATCAAATTCAGAATTCAGACTAGAGGAACTAATTTGTATTGAAATGTAAATCATATATACTTAAAATAATTTAAGCAGATTAAAAGAATACAAAGTTTTTCTTTGTTTCTGAAATTCAATACATCTGATTTTGATGAATAAAGTTTTATGGAAATATCTTACACTAATTTTGTATATTTTGAAGTGATATTTTTATTTTTATACTTTAAAATAATTCCAAATTTACAGAAAAATTAAAAGGACTATTCAAATAACATTTTTTCCTGAACCAATTGAGACTAAGTTGATAAGATGATATTTTATCACTCTTGTTTACTTTAGATTTGCCTTTACACAAGAACATGAACATAACACAACTGTCTGTCAAAAATGGGAAGTTAACATGATTCTGTACTAGCTGCTTTTGTTATAAAAGCCATTACTGGACAACTGGTAAAACCTGAATGGAATCCAAGAATTAGATAGCACTAATATATCAATCTTTAGTTTACTAATTCTCTTTGAACTATATCTAATATAGTTTTTAATGTCATGAATTTTCAATTTTTATTTCATACAAAATTTTAAAGATGTAAAATTCAGTTATTTTAATTCTTTAATTTTTTTAATGTTTATTCATTTTTGACAGAGAGAGAGTGAGCGAGGGGTGGGACACAGAGAGAGGGAGACACAGAATCTGAACCAGGCTCTGAGGTGTCAGCAGAGTGTGATGTGGGGCTCGAACCCAAGAACTGGGAGATCATGACCTGAGCCAAAGTCAGATGCTTAAGTGACTGAACCACCCAGGTGCCCCAAGTTATTTTACATACTGATTTACTACCATCCTAAAATATTGTACCCTTTTCTAACAAATTTTTGTGGAAGGGGAGGGAAAACCAAAATATACATGCATAAAAAAATTGTCAGCCTAAAATGATTTGTTCTTGGAAGTAAATATTTCTATAGCATTTGCAGTAATCTTAAGTGGAAGAATAGATAAGACAGGTGAAAAGCCAGTTGCTCTGTTTGAAGCTCAGAAGAACCCTGACCCTATCCTCAGCCTTCCATTGTCCCACCATTGTGCTTGAGGCATCTCTCTACAGAACCCTGGGCTTTTCAGACAAGTTTTGAAGATACAATGCAGTAGGAAATATGGTATAACAAAGACAATATTTACAAAGGGAGGAAATGCTCAAGATAACTGAAATCTTGAAGAATGGTTATAAATTGGATAAAGGGCATTCCAGGATGTGAAAGTTTATACTGGATTCTTCTCTATAGAGAAGAGAGCTAATCCCATGAAATCTTACTCACATAATGGGGTCATTTCATATAGTAAATATTAAAGGGCATGACTTGACTCAGACTGGTTTTGGGTCCCAGTTTAATGACTCCTTTCTCTGTCTATTCTCCCTCTTGGTAATCTCATTTCATATTAATGGTTTTAAGTACCATCAATATGACTTTCACTTCCAAATGTGTATCTATCCTCTGCTCTGAATTCTAGATTCACTTATTTGCCTGCCGACTTAACATCTCCACTTAGATGTCCAACAGTATCAGAAATCTTTGTCTAAAACTATTGACCCAGACCCTTCTCCATGTCAGTCACTGGCAACTCCATCATTTCAGGTGAATGGGCCAATCATCTTAAAGATGTACCTAATTTCTACTTTGTAATAAACCCTACACACATATCTATCAGCATATCCTGTTGCCTGTGTCTTCAAAATATATGGAGAATCCATCTCTTCACCTCTCCTGCTCTACTCTGGACATACCTTTATCCTACAAACCCTAAATACCTAGTTAAAATCTCCAACCTAGACTCTTTGGTCCCTAACATTCTCAACAAGAGTAAGCCTTTCAACAGTTAAGTCAAGATCATGTTCTATTTTTCCATCTCTCTCAGAGGGAAAGTCAGAATTCTTATACAGGCCTTGGGGGCTCTGTACGTCTAGCTCCTCTTGCTTCTCTAAAGTAGTCTTCACCAGTTTCCATGTTGCTCACGCTGCTCCAACCAGGCAGTTGTTCTTGTTGATTCTAGAACTTGCCAGGCATGCACTTGCCTTAGGGCTGCCCATCCGCTGGATATCCACAGACTAAAGATCTCACCTAAGTCTTTACTCAAATATCACACTTCAATGAGGCTAAATCTGGCCATGTTACTTAATATTAGAGACAATTCTAACTCTCAGTCCTGACACTTCATATGGAGCTCCATTTTTTCCATATTATTGATAAGCTAGCACATTACAACTATGGGAACAGGAACTCAGTTTAAAGGTTGTTGCATTACTTAAAGTGTAGAGTAATAATTCTGGACTTAGGGAGTTAAAATGACAATGAAGAGCTAATTATGGAAGAGCCAAGTGGCTTGAGGTTCCTAAAGTAGTCAAGGGGTGCGTGCGCACGCGCACGCGCGTGCACACACACACACACACACACACAGTCCAATCAAATAACGGGAAATTAATTGTATACACACACTATAAAGTCATTTATACTACACATGGATGTGTGTGTGTGTGTGTGTGTGTGTGTGTGTGTATGTATATATATATATATGTTTACAGTCTTGGTAATTAAAAGAATGAGATACTGCAAATAAGAAAGACAGTAGGGACAGGGAGAAGCACTGTGGCAGGGCATGGCACTGGCTCAGTTTTACATGTTTAAATATAAAGGTTCCCTGTTCTTTCTAGTGTTGAGTATCACAAACTGGACTTTTTGGTTCTCAAGTGATCCTTTAATTTGGAAATTCTTCTCAGACAATAATTAGGGACAAGGAAACTTCAGTTGAATACAGTTTAAACCATGGTTCTGTTTCACCTATTTGTTCACATGCGAATACTTACTGCATTTTTACATCTCGTGCGTGTTAGAAATTGTAGTTTCAATTACATTCGATCATATGTATTAAGTGTAAACCTATGGTATGAGCGATGACAAAGACAGAGTGCCTAACCACCTCTATTTGAAGTCCCCTAGGACCCGGGTTAATTAATGAGACTCATCCTAAGGTTATACATGATCTATTACTTCCTCTAATTAGAAATAATAATCCTGATCATTATGCTGGTTAGCTGGAAAGAAGTAAGATGAATGTGCTTAACTATGATTAATAGTCTTCTTTAAGCAGGGTAGATCTCTTCTGTCATGGACTTCTCTGCAAACTGGCCTGCAACTCAATGCTTTTTCATGATACACATTTTTTTAAACTCACAGAAAAATTAACTTTCTGGCATATCTTTTTATCTTTCCTGATAAAGAATAACCATGTTATTATTTTTAAGTTGATTCTCACAACAAAGTTTATTTTTCTACTTTGCATTAGCTATCCAATAATTTATTCTTTCATTTTTTTCTATTTTCCCCCAAATTATGTGAATACCCATGTGTATTAATTTTAGTCCATACTGCTGAGGTGAAAGACTATTGCACATGACTTATATACCAACATTTAAAATTCAAAAAATTATGATGACAATAATTAAGGTATTTATTTACTCCTGTTTTATAAGGCTGGTGTCTACCCTGTCCTGACTAACAACTTTACCTGATAAATTCACACTCTAAAGAAAATTTAGAAAAGTTATTATCTGTTCTGTGAGATGCAATATGTCCACAGAGAAAGGCAGGTAGTCAGAACAAGTTCGTCAAGAAGTTAGCATTTATATACCTGTTAAACTTTGTTAACCAAGGAGGCCAGGTATCTTAGGAGTAAAACACATAAACTCTGAGTCAGACTGTCCTTATCAAACTTTGGCTTTACCACTGACTAAGTGGGAGGCCCTGGAAATAACTTTGCCTTTGAACATCAGTATCCTCATTTTGAAAGTCATGATAATAATGATGATATGCATTATATGTTTATTGAGAAAATTAAGGATAGTTATCTCATATGTTTATTGAGAAGATTCACTTACTTAGTCGGTGTAAGATATTATCACCGTGTCTACCATATACCGTTTGACAAATGGTGCAAGTTTAACTTTCATGTTGAGAAGTATGTATCTAGCCATGTGTGAAATGTACTTGATTTTTAAATTAATTCTCCATTCTGATATTTTCATCACTGGAACCCAGAATGACTGAAGATGTAATTAATCAACATTTGCAGCTGGTGTATTAGATTTGTAAATGTTGATATTTTTCACAAAAATTTAATAGGATCACTTAAGGTTTTTTTTCTATCCAAGTAGACAGACTTTATATTTGAGTCTTTCAATGAGGTTGCTAAACATATAAAGATGACTACCAAAAAGTGTAGATCCTTTTAGTACTTTTAGTACTTTTTTACTTTAGTACTCTTTTAATACTCTTTTAATTTTACTCTTTTAATTTTTAAACTTTCTAACCAATGTAACAATTTCATCATTTAGAATTTCTTCTTTTTATATTTGAGTTTAATAACACTTAAAAAATTTCTGTTCACAATGTGTTTTATTAGATCAAAAACAAATCAGCAATCTGGTTACCAGTATTTAAGCAATTATTATTAAATTTTTAATGAGATCTTCAAAATAATGAAGAAACATGCATTTAGGCAACTACTATGTGCTCTGAACTGTGCTTCCAATATAGGGAAATATAAAACACATAATCCATAATATCATAGATAAAATAATTAATGAAAAGTGAAGATACAAAGTTCTGTATATTGAAGGCAAGAATGTGACAAAATATATTTTTGTTTGGTAAGTGGTTGGTAATTTTTTTTGGAGAACATGAAACTTGAAGCATATTGTTGTAAGAAAAGGAAATGAAAATTAGAAGAGAGAAATATATAGGTAAAAAAGCAAAAAAAAATGAATGCACAATGTCACAAAGATTTAGCCAACTTCACGTGTTGGTTGGAGTGAAAAATAAAGGCAAATAAATACAATCCACACAATCTCTAGGATGTCTAAAAATGTAGGTTGAAAGTAATCTTACTGCTGATGTCCGAGATACTAGGGTGCTAAAAACAGATTTTGAGTTACCTGTGTTTATTCAAACTAGAAATATATATGGAGTTTTAATTTTGAATTAAAACTAAAGGAATATATGAATAAATCATAAAAACCCTTTATGTTATTATTTCTTAGCAATAAAAATATCCACACACATGAAATTCATTTTATTTTTTTCCTAAACATTTTTTTTGGCACCAAAATGATTCTTCCAAATATATAAACCTATATGGAGAAAGTAAACTTGTAAATAAATAACATGTATGCCTGTAACAAATGGTACATTTAGTAATGATTTGCAAAACCTATGGAATTGCAAAAGATCTCTTACCATTTAGTTTCAAATGCAGATAATGTCGTAAGAGATTAATATAATCAGAGTGTCACTCTGTCAATCAAATATAAAACCGTCATCTTGATAAATTAACAAAGATCTTTCTGAAGTCCTCTGCTGAGCTAATTGCACATTAAATAAATGTGTTGACAGCTGGACATATGTGCCTGTAAGAGCATAGAAGGAACAAATATGAAAGCCACTAAAATTTGATCAAAAAAGTCCTACCTGTAGGCCTTGGCCATCCACGGTCACGGAGTTGGCTCTTTGCATTTTGTTTTTGTCAGTCACTTTATTTGACTGTTGGGAACCACCTTTTTCCTTTTTCACTGTTGCTTGTCTTTCCTGTAAGGAGACAATCTTTTATAAGAATATTGTTTTAATAAAAAGGGGAACACAAAGAAGACTTTATTGGCTACAGTCTTGGGCCCATGCTCCTAATTTGGAGTATCTTAATGACTACTAAGAAATCTGTTGCTTGCAACAGTCCACATGATACAGGCACAAGAAGAAATATTATTTTCTTTAATTATCTTAAAGAAATTAATTATCACTTAAAGAAAGCCAGATGGTATTCCCCCTATGTGCCCAATCGGGACTCTTCACCAGAAGTTATCAAGGACCAGTAAGACAAATTATTTTCATAAGGAATGGTAGGAATAAATAATATGGACTTACAATTTAAGAAATTTGTTACTGAGCCCTAAAAACAAAGCTTATACATGCAAGCAATACTGAAAATGAAGACATGATGGACTTTTAAGCTGCTATTTATATCAAGGATGGCATTAAAGTTAAAACACACATTCCATCCCAGCTAATTCCTTTGTTCATCATAGTGGAAACATTTCGTGGAGTTGGCTGCTTCCTGTTTCTATCCCACCCCGACCCCCACTCTCTCTTCAACCCAACCCAATGAATTTTATCACCCTTAATCAACCAAATCTGCTCTTCTTAAAATCACCAATGACCTTCTCATTACCACACTTATTGATCAGCTTCATCTTTTCCACTTTTTAGCAGCATTTGAGAAGACTGATCTCTTCCTGCCTCCTGAACACTTGCCTCACTTGGGCTTCTGGACACGTCTTTCTCTTACTCTTTGCTCTCTTCCTACTTCACTAATTGCTTCCTCAGAGTCTCTTTCTTTGATTCTCCCTCCCAGGTTTAGGGTCCATAACACTTAACCTCTTCCTTGAATGGCTCATCTGCACTATCTACACTCACTCCCTAGGCAACTTCATTAAATCCCAAGGCTTTGAATTTCAATTTTATGAGGAAGACTTCTAAATTTATAGTTCCTGTTCAGATTTCTCCCTTAAACTTTACTTCCTACATACAAATGCCCTTTCTATCTGTCCATGTGTGTCTAAAACACACATTAGTCCTCAAATATCCAAAACTATTTTTTCTTGAATTTCCTGCCTACTCTCATTAAAAATAAATCCCAAACTGGATGATTACTCACCACTTCCAACATTACATATCTTAAGCCTCTGCCATCTTCTTTACCTGGATTATTGTAATCATCAACTAAGGGATCAATCTGCTTCCATCTTTGTCTCCCTACAGTCAATTCTCTATACAACAGCCACACTCATCCTATTTCACTCCATTCCAGCTATCCCCACCTCCTCATTATGCTTTGATCACAAGTAAGCTCTTAATTCAGAGCTTTGGCCATCATTCTTCTCTCTGCTGCAAAGCTTTCTTTTGGGCATGTTCCTCACTTATTTCAGGTTTCTGTTCAAATGTCAAATTGGCTTCTCTATTCCCTTTAGCCTCCTTTTATAGAAATAAAAATATATTTACACATAAAAGTATATATATTATATATAATTATATACATATATATTATATACATATTATACATATATATTATACATATGTGTATATATATATTATACATACATATATAATATGTATTATACATATATGTGTATATATACACATTATACATATATATTATATACATATATATGCATATTATATACACATATAATATATAATTTATTACAACCTGAAATGTGTTCTGTTTAATTAGTTTAATGCTGGGATTCTTGGGCCATGTCTAGGCTTGGAGTGAAAAGTTGTTCTGATCAAAAAGCAATGTCTGCCATGTATGCTTAAATATTTGAGTGACACATATTTTCTAGTCCCTATATTTGCTTCTTAGAGCATCATTTCAATTTCTGTAATTTTGGAACATATTTTAACTGGACTTACAAGTAAAGCTCTTTTTAACTATATTAGGGCCAGATGGATCAGAAAATTTCTCAGACCAAAATAGATGCTAATCAATACAGTCCATTTACCTTGCAATTTCATGGTGTAAAATCACTGAATATATTTTTTGTGGGGCTAAAAATGGATGGTGTAATAGGATTCCTGAAATTCACATTCTTTGGAAAACGACGTACTTTCACATAAGCATAATTTCTGGCAAAAATATTGATTTTTTTTAAAGATAGATCATTCTTTCTAAACTTACAAATTACAATTTTGTCCCTAGAGAGTTAAGAGTATAATGCATAGAAAGAGTGGATTATAGGATGAGGTTTGGAGTCAGAAAGCCTGAGCTGAATCCCATCTCTGTTACTTAAATGTTATGTAACCTTGGAGCACTTAACTCTTATTCAAAATGGAGTTAGCAATACATATTCCTCAGAGTTGTGCAAAATTTAATAGAAAACACACAAATTCCTAACATTGTGCTTATATTAGAATATGTGCTCAATAAATGAAAGTTATTATGAATAAGAAAGTGTGGCTGTCTCATTAGGGTGCTCATTAGTATTATGCAAAGTGTTTGTTCTATTTCCAAGTGCATATATGTATGAAAAATTACACTTAGTTACATTAAGTATATTAAATAAGCAAGTCTCAGTGATTACAGTTGAAAATCCATAACTTATATTAGGAGTTCAAAAATAAAATACTGAGGTAGGTATGGGAATAATTTCTTTCTGGATGCTTGCATACAGGTATGTAAAACATGCAATGCTCTATAAAATACTCTATAAAAATCTATAGTGTAGAAGATACTTATGTACCTAATATCTTATATATCTATTATCTTATCATACCTTAAATACCTTGTATTGTGACATACAATCCAACAATTGTTATTTTACATTTAATTCCTAAAATTCTTAGGTTACAAGAATTAAATAAAATTTAAGTTGGTTAGTCATATTGGAACTGGATATTTGTGACCAAACTATTTATATACATAATGCTGGAAATTGAATACATGT